TGACCCAATGATCCCACTTCTAGAAATATACCCTAAGAAGCCTGAAACACCAATCAGAAAGAATATATGTACCCCCATGTTCATAGCAGCACTATTTACAATAGCTAAGATCTGGAAACAGCCCAAGTGTCCATCAGTGGACAGATGGATAAAAAAAGCTGTGGTACATATACACAATGGAGTACTAGGCAGCTGTGAGAAAGAAAGATCTCTTATCCTTTGAGACGTCATGGAGGGACCTGGAAAGTATTATCCTAGGCGAAACAAGCCAAGCAGAGAAAGACAAATATCACATGATCTCACTTATTTGTGGAATATAACGAATATAACAGTCTGAGGAATGGGGTAGTCCCAGAGACGAGGAAGTGGGGTACAGACTGACAATCCCCTGAAGAGGGGGTGGGGGGGAGAGATAAACCACAGAACTTCTATGCATGTATGTATGAACAACGGACATGGACAACAAAGCTGGGGCCAGGGTGGGGAGGGAGGAGGAGGGGGGAATCAATGGGTGAAAAAGGGGAAACATCTGTAACAAAAATAAATTAATTAATTTAAAAAAACTGCTCAGTATCACTAATCATCAGAGATGCAAATTAAAACTACAATAAAGGATCACCTCACACCTCCCAGAATGGCTATCATCAATAAATCAACAAACAACAAGTGTTGGTAAGGATGTGAAGAAAAAGGAACCCTTGTGTACTATTGGTGGGAATGCAGAATGGTACAGCCACTGTGGAAAACAGTATGGAGTTTCCTCAAAAAATCAAAACTGGAGCTGCCTTCTGACCCAGTGATCCTACTTCTGGGAATATACTCTAAGAAATCTGAAACACTAATTCGAGAGAATATATGCACCCCTATGTTCATATCAGCATTATTTACAATAGCCAAGATCTAGAAACAGCCCAAATGCCCATCAGCAGATGAGTGGATAAAAAGGTTGTGGTACATTTGGAATAATATGCTGCTGTAAAAAAGGAGGAAATCTTACCTTTTGTGACAGTGTGGATGGACCTGGAGATTATTATGCTAAGTGAAATAAGCAGGTCAGAGAAAGACAGATACCATGTGGTCTCACTTATATGTGGAATCTAATGAACAAAATAGAAACAGAGGCATGGATACATAAAACAGAAAGACAGCTGTCAGAGGGGAGGGGGATTGGGGAACTGGATGTAAGAAGGTGAAGGGCTTAACTATAAAACATATATACATAACACGTAGACACAGACAACAGTGTGGTGATAGCCAGAGGGAACGGGGGCTGGGGGGGGGCAGAGGTGGGCAAAGCAGGTTGGAGGGGGGATTGGGGACAGAGAAAGACTTTGCTTGGGGCGATGGGCGCATGATACAGTGTGCAGATGAAGTTTCATTGAGTTGTACATTTGAAACCTGTTTGGTTGTGCGAGCCAATGTCACCCCAACAAATTCAATAAAAAAAAAAAGGTAGACATTTTGAGACAGTAGGTGATAATCTGGATTCAGACACCCAGGAGAGGGTGACACGTATTAAGAGGAATGCAGACACACTGCAGCTTTGCCAGAGACTTCTGGAAATCGTAGTCAGTGGGAGGAGTAGAAGAGCAGGCTCAGGATGGGCCTGGTGGTCGTCTCCAAGTGGCTGCGCACTCATGTGAAAAGCGCAGAGCAGTTGAGCCTTGCGTGGCCCTTGAGGTCAGAGCCAGGGCTGGTGGGAGAAGCTGGACGGTGGAGACAGAAGTTCCAACAGTCCCGTGATAGATTCCTCTTCCTGCAAACGTCAGTAGTCATGCTAAGGTTAATGTAAAAAGGAAATGAAGGACCCCCAGTCAAGGCCCTGGAGGTCACCGTGAGAATCATGAGGTCAGCAACCCAGCGGTCAGTAAGCCAGCATGTTCAATGGGGAAGAAGTTCTGATATTACTCAGCCCAACCGCTGTCTACTTTGTTCATGCGTGTCCTGTGACGTTCACATGCTCCCATGGGTCCCACACAAGATGACGCGGCGTCATGCAGAATTCCCAGTGCACGCCACAAAACCCCACCCTTTTTTCCTTACTCAGGAAGGCAATGTCAATTCAAGTGACTGAGATTTATCCTAGTGTAGAAATAATCTTGAATCTGTTCTAATTCATGAAAAATAGTACATCACCGGAATGATTAATAACAAGTTATCATGCAATGGTCCTCATACCTAACTGCCACATACCTGTTTCTCAACAACCCTTTTATTTCACAACGAGGAAAATGAGGCTCAGAGAGGGGAAAGGACCACCGTCGACGGACTGTGAGGCACGAGAGCCAGGGGTCAAGCTTCCTGTGGCTCTTTCTGTGACTGAGAGTGGCCTGTACCCAACTTAGATTTTAGTGGTGTGAGGGGTAGGCTCCTGGGAGGACCAAGGAGGTGAAGGAAGAAGTGAGATGTGAATCTGCTGTGTTCCATCCAGGCCACATCACCAGGGAGATGCCCGAGTCCAATATTAATATTCTCTTTGGCCTCCCCCGACAAGTTTGGAGGTGAGGGGAGGCTGGCAGGGTGCTGGTATAGGTTGAATTGTCTATCTCCAGAAAGATATGCTGAAATCTCAACCACTAGTACCTCAGAATGACCTTATTTGGAAATAGGTCTTTACAGGGGTGATCAAGTTAAAATAAAGTCATTAGGCCCTGGCTGGTTTGGCTCAGCGGTTGGAGCCTCAGCCTGCGGACCAGAGAGTCTTGGCTTCGGTTCCCACTAGGGGCACGTACCAAAAAGTAAAACAAAATAAAGTCATTAGGGTGGCCCTAATGTACAGGGACAATGTGTGAAGATGAAGAGAGAGGTTGCGAAGATGCTTCTACAAGCCAAGGAATGCCAAGTTTGCCAGCAACCCACGGGAAACCAGGGGTGAGACATGGAACAGATTCTTCCTCACAGCTCTCAGAAGGAAACTCTGCCCACACATTGAACTTGACCTTCCAGCCTCCAGCACTGTGAGGGAATAAGTATCTGTCGGTGAAGCTCCTAGTCTACGGTACTTTGTTATAGCAGCTCTAGGAAATGAACACGGATGGGATGAAGCTTATAGCCACTCATTGGATGTCTTCACCCTACAACAGAGTGTCTGCCCCGGCCCACTCTGTGTGGTCCTCTATCTCCAATACACTGTTCTTACCTTTACCACCCCCTCCCCAGTCCATTTGCTCTTGTGTTTGTTACCACCAGTTCAGGACCCCACCTCAGTCTTGCCAAAGGTCCAAATACCTGGGCCCCAGATTGACCACAGCCCCAACACCAAGCTCAGAGCTGATGAGCTTTGAGAGAGAGGAAGGATGCCCTCCTCACATCGAAACCTGTCTTCTCCTACCTTTGCAAGCCAGAACAGGTAGGGATACCAGAAACACAGGCTTCCAAGGCCCTCAGGATGTGCTGGCTCCAACAGACCAACCTTTAACCTACTGATCTGGCCTCTAACCCTGGCTAGGGGTGAATCCCTTAGAAGAGGACCTCAGCCTCCCAGATTATGCCCTTCCAATGAGTGAGCAGCCTACTTTCTGCCAGTCTAATGCAATCCCTTATCATAGCCAAAGTGAATGCAGGGCTAGGCCCATGGAGAATAAAAGTGTCTTCCTGGTGATTCTTAGAGACTCACTGAGGAGATGAAATAGACTCATACTAAACAGTGGTCCAGATTCCCAAGAGGTAGAGATCATCGTTGGAGACTGGGTGGAGAAGTCAGGGAAGGCTTCCCAGAGAAAGAACCTATGATGGCCTTGCTGGAGAGGGTGAGCTGATTTTTATTGCATGAGTTCTAGGAGCCAGGCATATTCATATACTTTCTCTTATTTTTATTTCTTGTCACTTGTGAGGCAGGTGATGTTATCTAAATTTTATAGATGAGGAAATGGAGACTCAGAGACATGGAAAGATCTGCCTAAGACCACATGGCTTTATACATGTTAGAGGCATCATTTAAATTGAGGACCCCCTGATATCCCAGCTCATCTTTCTTCTGCATTCAGGCTCTGCCTTTTCCAGGGCACAGTAGTGTTTAAAGGACTGATGAAGGTTGGAAGCACTTAGGAAGAAGTACTCCAGGTTGTCAAAGGAGCAGGGTGGAAGTCTGGGGAGCCAGGAGGCGGCTGGTCTGTTGGCTTTCAGGGATTCAGAGGGAACAATGGGGACCAAAGCAGGAAGAAGAGGGCTGGTACTTTATCAAGCTGAGCATTCAGACTTGAGGGCTAAGTAGTGAGCAAGTGAGTTCTGGAGTGAGGGATACAGAGCTGGTGTTTTGGAGACCTATCTCGATGGGAGAGGGGCCAAATTGCCGACCTGCTAGGAAGTCCCTCAAGCAGAGGCATGTGGCCATGTGAGAAGGACCCATTCCCTCTTCCAGTCCCAGCCCCAGATCTCCCTGGGTAGGGAGGACGACCAGCTTGCCTCCAAGGGTCCCTACCTGTGTGCACCCTCTACCTGGTCACCTTCCACACAGGTCAACTCTATATTGCAGGGCTCATTTGAGCTGGACTGTGAAGGGCTCAGCTGGCAGGCAGGCGTGGGGAGCAGAGTGTGTCCAGTGAGGAAGCACACTGTGGGGGGCGCAAGTGGCTGGGGCACTGGATGGCCATGGGGCAGGCTGGGGACGGACACTGCTTTGGCCACTGATTAATGGACAGATTGAGGGGGCTTGGGCAGGGGATGAGAAGAGAATGGTGCCCGAGGCATTTCAAAAGGCAGACTGTTTAGAACTCAGGGCTGCTGAGGCAGGATGTATGAGTTTGAGGGTGTAAGGTGCTACCTGGAGTTGGGGTTGCAAAAGCCAAAGGGAGATTATGCAGGACGGAAAAGAAAAGCAAGCCTGGGGAGAGCAACTGCACCCCTCAACTCCCACCCCGGTGCACGTTACGACAGCATCAGTATACACACCTAGCTTGTGGTTGAGTCCCGTTTATTTTAGAAGCATAAACAATGAGACTAGGAAGGAGGGAGGGGAACAAGATACCCAGTCTTCCTGACAGGGCCAGACCCCGCACAGGCTCTGTTGTGTAACCAAGGCCGACCCAGCAGCCTCGACCAGGATTTTCCTGAGAGCAGAGGGTATGAGGAAAACCTGGGTGGGGGAGAATCTCCCATGACAGTGGGGGCGGAGTCACTTGGCTTTGGGTCCCTCTGAAAAAAGTGAAAAATGCTAAAGGGCCCACACTTTTGGCCAAGAGCAGCCCAAGTTCTCTCTGCCTGTGCCTGGGGCAAAGCCAGGTTTTGGAGGGGAAACCATGAGGTGTCCTCTGGTCACCAGGAAGGCTCCAGATGTCCAAGAACAACCTAAAGTGAGGCCCTCTGGCCAGCAAGCACCTGCTACCCCCAGTCCTAGTCATCTCTGCAGAGCCTTCAAGGAGGGGCCACCAAGGCAGCCAGACTTCCCAGGCCCCGCCGTTGGGTGACATAAACCCCAGGTTCCTACAAATACTGCTTCTTGTAAGTATTGCTTCTGAGGCTACTGGGGGATTTCTGGCTACTCTGGGGGTACTGGTCCAGGAAGGGGGGTGGGCTAGAAGCCAGATTCTCTTGTGTAGTCAGGTTGGCCCAGTTCCATGGCTCGGATGCAGGCTCCTTGCCCATGGGGAGGTAGAAGACCCGGTCAGCTTGAGGCCCCGATGTGGTGTCCTGATGTGGGCGGGCATTCTGGCCCTGCTGGGCCCTTAGTCCTTGGATGAAGCAGCGGCACAGCAGGTAGACCAGCTCCAGCAGGTTGAGCAGCAGGGAGATGACTCCGACCACCTGCATGAAGATGATAAAGATCGTCTTCTCCGTGGGGCGAGAGATAAAGCAGTCCACAGGGTGGGGGCAGGGTGAGCGCTGACACACATACACGGGCTCCATGGTCCAGCCGTAGAGACGCCACTGGCCGTACAAGAAGCCTGCTTCTAACACGCTCTTGCAGATCACGCTGATCATATAGGTGCACATCAGCGGCCCCTGGATCCGCATGTGACCATCTTCCGCCACCGAGATCTTGGCCATCTGACGCACCACACCTGCTAGCGCCTGTTCCACGCTTGGGTCTTTGTCCAGCAGTGCCCGAAGCTCCCCCTCCTTCTGCCGCAGCCGCTCCTCACGCCGAGACAGGTAGATGACATGGCCTAGGTAGACCAGGGTGGGCGTGCTGACAAAGAGGAACTGCAGCACCCAGTAGCGGACATGGGAGATGGGGAAGGCCTTGTCGTAGCAGACGTTGGTGCAGCCAGGCTGGGCTGTGTTACACTGGAAATCCGACTGCTCGTCCCCCCACACTGATTCACCAGCCAGGCCCAGGATGAGGATGCGGAAGATGAAGAGCACTGTCAGCCAGATCTTGCCCACCAGCGTTGAGTGCTCCTGAACCTGGTCCAGCAGCTTTTCGAGAAAACCCCAGTCACCCATGGCTCCTGGGGTTCCGGCTGCAGGGAGACAGAAAACACTGTCAGCGTGATACCTTTCGGAGCTGTCCTGGCAACAAGCTCGCAGTAAGACTGGCCATGCCCTTTTTATCCTCAGGGAAACTGAGGCTCAAGGCCTGGGGGCTCACACCCAGCAAGGTGGTCGGGACTAAAAGCAGGTCTTTGGATGATGGCTGCTAAGCTCTGGCAAGGGTCCTGTCTGGTCACACCTGTGTCCTTCTGGTTCCCAGCCGGAGTCCCAGGATGACCACAGTCCAAAAAAGACTCAGATCAAGTAGAGGCTTCTGGGCTTATGGGAAGAGAGAATTTGAGGAACATATCCAAGGTCACACAGATGTGCCATACCCCTCCTCCCTTTTGTCTAGGACAGGCTGCCCCCGACAGTGGAAGAGGGTGTGGTGCTATCTCCAGCTTCTCAGGGTGCCCAAAGCCTCAGGTCCCTACTCATATCTCATTCGAACTTTTGAGTTTGTGGTAGGAGGGGTGTTAGATCCTAAAGGCAGAATCCTGCATTAGCTCCACCTCCCAGCAACAGTGATCTGCTCTTAAGTATGGATGCTTGACCCTGCCCCCTTTCTCCATCCCTCCTGCCCCCTCCCCCAACACCCCCAAGCTGTTGCTACCAAATTCTAGACTCTTTGGGTTGTCTTAGTAAGGTGGAGGCACAGGCTACAAAGTTCCCAGAACATGGGGTGGGTGGGGGGGCAATGCTGTTTAGAGCTAAGCTCTGGAACCAGACCTGGGTTCCAATCCCAACTCCCTCTTACACACTGGGACCTCTCTTAAGTGAGGACCTCCCAGCCCCTCTGTCTCCACTCTTGGAAAATAGAATTGGTACTATTCCTGCGTCCTGGGCTTAAGGTTGAAAGAAGGTAGGAGCCTTGCTCAGCACAAAGCCTGGCCACCCGCAGACTGGATGAGTGCGGCTGTGGTGGCTCGCACCCCTTCCCTTACTCCCCGCATTGCACAGCACCCCCAGCTCCTGTCAGGTGGCAAGTGGTGCCCCGGCCCCCCAACCCCAAGCACAACTCACTGCCTGTCTGCCTGGCGGCCCAGGTGGCGGTGGGGACGGACGCAGGCCAGAGCGGCGCCGGGGAGCCCTGCTGGGACCCTGGCTGCCGGCTGGGGCGCCTTAAATAGCGCGGCGGGCGGGGCGGGGCGGGGCGGGGGCAGGAAGCCGCGGGAGGCGCGGGCTCCGGGGGATGGGGCGCGAGGTGCCGGCTCCTGAGCGGCTGTCGAGGAAGGGCTGGGGCGGCGGCCCTGGGACTTGGCGGGTGTTCCAGGCGTTAACTCTCCCCGCCACTTCTTGGGCGACGGAACAGTTCTCCAAAACGGAGTTTTTCAGGGCGGCGTGGGGTGGGGGACTCGAAAGCAGTGCTGGAAGGGTTCGCGGCGTCCCGCTCCTGGCTGCGGGCAGGTGGGGCGCGGGTGCGGGAATGTGGAGGAGACTGTTCTAAGCGGGACGGTGCCCGGTGGGTACCTCGGGGCTGGATGCCGCCACCGGGGAGCCGGCGCTCCTAGAAGCCGAGAGGCTGCTCCTCCGCCCCTGCGCTCCTGGCCGGCTGGCTCCTGGGACAGGCTGTTGCCCCGTCCCAGCGACCTGTAAGCATTTCCCCTTCTCTGGGCGGGTCTTCCCCAGCACCCCGTCCGTTCTGACCCGTCCTGTGTGACACCTGCGCGCCCGCCACGAGGCGTGGAGGACGTGCCCACCACTGTTCCTCACAAGCTGTGCCTCCGCGGACGCAACGTCCGTTCCCCTGATCAGCTCCTGATGTAACTCATGCTCTCCAGTCTCCGAGCCTGGGGAACTGCATGCACAGGGCATCCAGGGAGGGCCTTTCCTTGACTCTGGGGGCCTGTCGTCCTCGGTGAGAAGAAGAGAGACCACGCATTCGTCAGGCAGCCATGGTGTGCCTGGCACTGTGCCCGCACCTGGCAATAAAGGCGCATCAGGACCGCAGTGCTCCCTGGAGGGTGGGGCGCCTGGGTCTCAACTGAGCCTGTACCCTTGCGGAATTCTCAAACATCCCCACTCCTGGGTGGCTACACAATCAGAGGTCACTACGCAACTCCCCGGGGCCACTTGACACTGCGGAGGGGGGACTCTGTCCACCTTTAGCTTGGATCTAAAGGGTGGGGCAGACAGAGCCCACCATGGTTCATTCAGGCTTCACCCTGTGGATGAACTTTAATGAGGGTCTGCTGTGGCGTGGAGCTGGGGATTCAGCCATAAACCAGCCAGATGTGGTCTCTGGCCACCAGCTCTCACTGGCAGGAGCAGGAGGTGGGAACGGAGTACATCAGCTCCTGGGTAACAGTAAACTGGTAAATGTGGACTGTTCTCCTGAGAAGGACAGGGTGACTTCCAGGGGACTTGCTTAGGGACATTTTCTGGAGGAGACTGCATTAGCTAGGTTGGGGATGGGGGTGGGGTAGGGGAAGAGCATTCTAGGCAGAAGGAACAGAAAGAGCCAAGGCCCAAGGAGCTGGGGCTGCCAAGTCCTGAGATCTTGGTTACTGTCTCCAGGGTGGTGGCCTTGGTGGGTAGAAGCAGTAGAGCTGAAATTGAGACTTTGCTGTTGACCCCTTGCCCTTAGGCACATTGCATAAACTCCTGTGCCTCAGTTTCTTCCTCTGCAGAATGGGGATAGTAAACAATACTGTGTAGGGTTGATAAGGGATCCAGGCAAAGCATGTAGCATAATATTGGTACACAGAAAGTTTCAAGTGAGTGGTGGCTAAAAATATGTGACAAAAAGTTTCTGACAAAAAAGACCTGTGGGTTGGTTTTGGTGGGGGCGATGGATAAAAAAAAAGGGGGAGGGGGTTCTATGGAAAGTAACCTCACAGGGTGATTTGATCATAAAATTCCTAACTGGGGAGGACACAGTGAGTAGACACCAAAGGGTGGCCACCCTCAAGAGAGCATGTAATCTCATTAACTATCCTGTAATCCCATCCGGCCTTGCTTGGTTTTCTCCCAACTTTACATACTCTTTCTTAGGTTCTCTTTTTAATTCCAAATGCATAAAAGCTGCAAGCCCTGGCCAGTGTGGCACAGCAGTTAGAGTGTCAGCCCGTGGACTGAAGGGTCGAAGGTTTGATTCCCAGTCAAGGGCACATCCCCAGTCCCGGTCGGTCGGGGCTCCTGCGGGAGGAAAAGGGCTGGGGTTTGTACATTTCTTATATTTACAGAGCAGAAAGGGTGGGTGTAGGAAGCTCAGGGGTGGTGGTGGGGATGGCACAGGTGGAGGTCGAAGCCTGGGGCTGGTTTCTCCACAGTAGGATTTAGTCCTTGGACTCCTAGTGCCCCAAGGGTCCTGTCTTCAGCCCTAGCAGGACTTTTGGAGCAGCAAATGGGGTGGGCTTTGCTCAGACCTCAGAACTTCCAGATCAGTCTGAGCTGTCTTCTGGATTCCCAAAGCTGACAACTGTCCACTTGGTTCTGACCCCGAGGTCGTGAGAACAGAGGTCCCTGGAGGCCGGTTCTCGTCATGCCCCACGGCAGTCCCTGCTCCCAGAGCTCTTCTCCTGTGGCCGGGCCCAGGCTCTCCCAAGCCTGTGCACCCCTCTGCTGGGTGGGGGGGGGGGGCGGGAGAGGTCACGGCTGCCCTCACCCTGCTTCTACCACTCCAGGCGCTCTGGAGGTCAGGTTTGCATGACCTGGCCCTTCCCAGGGCAAGGAGGGTCAGCCAAGACAGTAATTCCCATGACCTGGCCGTTCCACCTGGAAAACATGCCTAGAGGCTGTCAGCTTCAGAAATATGTATACCTGTGAAGAATGTTGCGAGTTTATTTGAGCCAAACTGTCGACAAATGTCAATGCCAGAAAGCAAAACCTGAAAGGATTGAGATGCTGCTCTGGAGAATGGCCGTGTCGCACCTTAATTTATACATTACAATCAGAAGAGAAGGTGCAAGTGGGTTACACGAAATCCACTGGTGACGTTAGGGAGGTGGGAGAAATGAAAGCCGGGAAGTCTCTGGGGTCAGATAAAAAGTAATACGATAGACACATCTTTCTTCTATATAGGTGGGTACAAAATAGTTAACAGTCAACAGTTAACATGATAATAACAATGTTGGGATTTGTAGTTTCCATCCTAGTGTATAGATTGTGCCCTGAGGGGTCTGGAGAAAAGGAAGTTACCCCACATTCCAAAGGTATGTTATCTTAGATACAAAAAAAAAAAAAAGAAAAGAAAAGGCAATCAGCTCGATTAAAGTGAAAATTGGACCTTTGTCAAGGAAGATGTCGGCCTAGAACATGACTACCTACCATAAACTGCTTGTGGTTAAAATGTTTAAATTTTAGACCATCCTTTGTGGTTACTTTAGGTCTTTGAGTTTGAGGCTGTCATGCAGGCCTTCCCTGAGCCTGTCCCTTAGCTGGTGTGTGGCCCCTTTTCAACCACAGACCCCACTCCTCCCTCCATTCCCACTGCCCTGACCCTGTGCAGGCTCCGCATTGCTCCTGGCCGCGGCCACCTCTCCAGCCTCACCCCCCTCCTCTTTCACTGGGTGGTCCAGCCCGACTCAACTGACTGCGGGCTCTGTGCACTCTCGCTGTGTCCATGTAGTTTCCCCTGCCTGGAGCACCCTCATGCTGAACCCTGTGATTGCTCAGGCCTTTGCTCCGCGTTACCTTCTCCCAGAAGTCGCCTGGCTGTCCTCCCTGGGTTAGGTGTTCCTCTGTGCTCTCAGGGGCTCAGGTACTGCCTCTGGATGCATTTTTAAAAATGTTTTAATTTCACTTGTGTTAAAAAATGTAAAATATTACTTACCATCTGTAATACTTTCAACAAGAAAATGGTTAGTATCTTAACCATTTTCAAGTGTGCCATTTGGTAGTGTTAAGTACAATCACACTATTATGCAATGGATCTCCAGAACCTTTTCACCTTGCAAAATTGAAACTCTAGCCTGGCTGGATGTGGCTCTGGACCGAGCATAGTCCCATAGACTGAGAAGTCCGGGTTTGATTAAGGGTCAGGACACATGCCCAGGTTGTGGGCTTGGTCCCCAGGAGGGGGTGTGCAGGAAGCAGCTGATCTCTCTCACATCCATGTTTCTATCTCTCTCTCTCCCTTCTTCTCTCTAAACAATTAATAAAAACATATTTAAAAAAATTGAAACTCTATTCCCTTTGAACTCCCCACTTCCCCCTCCCCCAGCCTTGGTGCATTGTTTACTCATCTTTACCCCTCCCCCATTAGACTGGGAGTCCCTTGAGGACAGGCAGGGTCTTGATTACATCTGCAGCCCCAAACAGGGCACCAGGCCCGTATATGAATTTATTAATTCAACACATATTTATTGCCCCTGGTGTGGTAGCGCTGTCCTAGCCCCTGGAGAGCAACCAGGGAACAAAAACCCTGTCCTAGTGGAGTTTGGATTCCAGCTGGGGAGACGGACAAAATGAAGTGTAGAACCTGTTAGGTGGTAATAAATGCTACGTAGAAGGTACGGTAGGAAGAGAAGACTGAGGGTGCAGGGGTGGCAGTTTCAATTTTGAACAGGAGGCAGGAGACGTTCTTACTAAGGGACTGGCCGCTGACTCTTGTCGGGAGGGAGGCCCGTGGCCCCTGGGGAAAGAGATTCCCGGCTAAGGGAACCCACAGTGCAAAGTCCGAGAGGCAGGAGTGTGCCTGGGGTTTCCTTCCCGGGGAACTGCAAGGTCAGTGTGGCTGGAGTGAAGTGAGCAAAGAGAAGGGATGAGTTCAGAAAGGGAACAGCCGAGCTGTGAGCTGAGGCAGAGATGCAGGCTCTCGAAGTCCTGTGAGAGGCTTTCGGAGGCTTTGGGCAGAGGAGTGACGCAGCCTGACTTCGGTTTTGACAGGATCGCCCTGGCTGCTGTGCTGGCTGGCAACGGACTACAGGGGTGGGTGATGAACAGGGGACATGCCCCTTTAATATAGGGGGCGTCCCCTGTGTGGAGTCTGGACAGCTGACAGCCTCCAGCTGTTAATACTTTCAGGTCTGCTTCAGCTGTCCAGGTGGCCAAGTTCTGCTTGGGGTGGTCCCTGGCAACGAGTGAGCCCAACCACTGCCACCCAGTGCGGGCTCTTCTAATAGACAGGCCTTGTCTCCAGATACAGAGCTCCCTGCCACAGGGCTTGCTGCTCAGTCTACTTCTTCGCTTTCCATGCACGGGTATTACTCCCCAGAACACCCTTTGCACTTGAACTCTTCCTCAGCGTCTGCGTCCCAGGATCAGGGGCAGGCGAGAAGGAGATAGCTGTAGCAATCCAGGCGAGGGATGATGGGGATGTCTTTGTCAGCTCGGGCTGCTAGAACAGGACACAGACTGGGGGACGTAACACCGTTCTGGAGGCTGGAGGTCTGAGATCAGGGTGCCTGCACGGTTGCGTTCTTGGTGACTGCCCTCTTGCTGGTTTACACAGGGTCGCCTGCTCAACCTGCCCTCACATGGTGGAGAGTAAAAGATCATCCTTCTCATGTCTCTTCTTACAAGGGCACTAATCCCATGCATGAGAGCTCCAACCTCATGACCTGATCACCTCTCACACTGAGGGTTAGGATTTCAACATAGGAATTTGGGGGGGAATGCAAACATTCAGTCCACAGTGGGACTTGGACCAGGGTGATGAATACATAATCTCCTGTTTACCTAGGTCTGCAGGGTGGCTATTACATCACTACATTACGATGTGAACTTGACGTCTGTGTATGTGAAATGGAAATCTATCATATGCCCAATTGAAGGGAGCTTGAATTCATGCAATGGGGGAGAAATAGAGGTGTGTGCCCTGAGCAGAGAAGGCCAAGGGGCCATGAGAGCTACCTTGTGGTGACAGCGAAGTGCACTGGGGACTTTGGGTGAAGCACATCAGCCCAACACATACTGGATGAGAACAGTACACTGTGATGCTCAAAATAGCTCTCAGGCCAAAGGCAAGATGTCCAGGGCTGGAATGTCCTTCACTCATGGTCCTGGCCTACAGCCTGGAGAAACAGGGTGAGGCTGGAAGCTCAATCCATTCTGGGAGAGCCAATGATATTCTAGGATTGCTCTGATCTCTAAGCCACTCTTGGCCAGGCAGCCGGAATGTCCTAGAAGATGCCGAAATGTATGGTGGTCAGTAGGTAGAGATCACCTCTCCCTGAGACCTTTGCAACCATCCTGTCCAAGCTGGGGCTCAGGTACCATATGGCTTGGGCAGCAGGCAGAGACTTTCCTAAGAGTGGTTGTATGACCTATAGTGTTTCCGTTTATTTCTACAGTTGTAGGTACTGTCCTGAGTGCTGGGATGAATATGTTCCCTTTGACCCTCTGATCTACTCCCCGCTTCTCCACCCTGCTCTGTGCCCTGGGAGGCTGGCTGCCTCCTTGCTCTCTGGCTTCTGGTTGGGTTGGGTCAGTGGGAGCCACTGGCAGGTGAGCAGGAGATGGGAGAGTGAAGTTGGCGTAGTTATTTGGTCACTGTGGTTGGATGCATCCTGTAGCACCTACCTGTGTGGCAACCCAGTCCATTGCTACCCTGGCACTACCCTGGGATACTCCAGTCACCCTTCGTGGGTTTCCTTAATCATGCCCATGCCCAGGCCTTTTAAAAACAGCCCCTTCAGGAAACTCTTTAAAGTTATATGCTTTGAATATGCCATGTTTCCTGCCACGACCCTGATTGTATTGGTGACAAGACTGAGGTTCTGAAAGTTTGCCAAGATGCAGCATGGTGAAGCTGTGATCGTGAAGTGGTTAAGCTCTGGTTCAGACCGAGGCCCTTAAACTTGGCTGGCATCCCCACCTCACTAATGGTCACACTTGAGAGCAAAGGTGCACCACAGCCTGTTCTGTCCACACAGACACCCGACCTCTCTCGGCCTGCCTTGACTCTTGGCTGACTGCCCCCTGGATTTCTGGCTCCTGGCCTTGCCTTTAATAGTTACTACATGTTCCTCTAGGTCAGTATAGCCTTTGTCTCTCTTTTGCTTCTATTCTGATCTGGCCTTGGGTGTTGGTGTATCCTAAATGTCACGTCCTCACACAGTGCTGGGAATGGGACTGTGAGCCACCCCAGGCTCTGAGCTCTTTGGGCTCAGCTCCTACTCCCTACACAGTCCCAGCATCCGGCCAGGGGCCTGGTGTGGAAAAAATGCTCAGGAAAAATGAAAAGAGCTGAATAATGCTTGGGTGAGGCTGATGACATGCCTGTAGAGACAACTGGCCTGTTGGGAGCACATAGAAGGAGTGAGACTATGACTAACAGGGATTTTGTGTACACAGGGTGGGCATGTGATTGTGGCTGGCAGTGCCTGGGTTACAAAGGAGGAGGGACTGTGATTTGTCAGTAATGAGAGGGCAGTGATTTTGTGTGCTCAGGGCAGTCTCTCTGTAAATAACTAGAAGCCAGGTTGTAGTGGGAGCATAGCGCCCTCTTGTGACCATGTCTCCAATCACAGTAGGTTTCACTCCAGCTCCCACCTGTCCATTGGAGCTCCAGCTCAACTTCAGCCCACACCCTGGCCTCACCCCAGCCAGGGAGCTCTCACCTTCAGAAGGCCACTTTCCCTGCCCTCAGGGTTTTGTGGCTGGGAATGTAGGAGAACCTGAATAAACCACAGCTTTTATTGATTCCAAGGAAACTGCTATGGGAATGTTCCTCTCAGGACATCCACCCTGAGTCCCACAGAGCCGAGTCGGAAAGCCTGGCACCAGGCTGAGCGCATTTGCAGGCGGAAGACGGGAGCCAAGCTTCCCAAGGTTGGGAGAGTGGAGCAGGGGAGAGGAGGAGAGCAGTGGTGACTCAGAGAATCCCTGGGTGTCTCCAGGAGAGGCTGCTGTCACCAGAGCCTCCTCCTCCTCTTCCCAGGCCTTTCTCAGGCCTCCAGACCTCCTGCTGCTGCGAAACTTCCTCTGCACTGCAGGGATCTGGGTGCTTCTTCCAAGGGAAGGAAAATTCTCTGTGCTCCGGTGCAGCCAGCCCAGGGCTAGCATCCCTCTTCCTGTGGCCTCAGGCCTCTGTGCCTGCCATTTCTCTGCTTGGAGCACTTCTCACCTCTCTTAACCGTACTTCTCAGGAAAGCCTCACCTGACCGCTCCCTCCTGGGCTGGGTAGAAGCCCTGCTGTGAGTGCCCCAAGCATCCCGTTGCCAATAGTTAAGTTAATAGGTTCAATGTCAGTCTCCCCCGAGGGCTGGCACTGGGCCTCTGGTGTGGCCTATACCCAAGTATTCAGCACAGTGCCCAACACTCAAAAAGTATCTACCACAGATGAAATTGGATAGCGTGGTGAATTCAACATGGGGGCACCCAGCACCTGTAGGAGCCCTCCACGGGCAGGATACCTCTCTACCTGTCTCCATCGGCAGACCCGGTATCACTCCCCCGTCCATGGTCAGATGGGGGTCAGAGTGGGTGCTGAAGCTTGTGGCTGGTCGTCGCTGGAGGGCACGACCAACTGCCCAGTCTCCACCAGCTTGTGGTGGCAGCGGCAGGTGGAGGCCCGGCTGGCTGAGGATCTGGCATTGTGGCTGCCTGGGGACCTATTCTTGCGGACGCCTTTTAGGACCCTGTGGAAGATGAGGTAGCAGATCTCGCTGATGGTGAGCACAATGCAGGCGGCAGAGGCGCCCACCATGAAGTAGGTGAAGACCTTCTTCTCAGTGGGCCGGGCAATGTAGCAGTCCACCACGTTGGGGCAGGGTGCCACGTTGGAGCACTGCACGAGGCGTGGCATGCTGAAGCCATACCAGAGAGTGTGCAGCACATAGAGGAAGAGGAATTCGATGACGAGCTTGAAGACGAGGCTCAGCAGGTAGGTCCACCACAGGCCGCCGTGCTTCTTGCCTGCATTGTCGTACAGCTTGGCGCACTGGTCACCGTGCTTCTGGCGGTGCCGCCGCTCCCGCTCCTCGCGGTAGGCCACGTGCAGGATGACCAGCAGCGAGGGGCATGTGACGAAGATGAGCTGCAGGGCCCAGAGGCGGATGTTGGAGATGGGGAAGAAGTTGTCATAGCAGACGTTGGTGCAGCCTGGCTGCTTGGTGTTGCAGTCAAAGTCCTTCTGCTCGTCCCCCCACACGCGCTCTGCGGCCACCACGTACACCAGCACCCGGAAGACAAACACCACCGACAGCCAGATGCGCCCGAATGCCGTGGAGTATTTGTTCACACCACTCAGTAGGGCCTGGAGTGTCTTCCAGTCCATGGTGCCTGGTAGGGGTGCCGGGAGCCTGGTGCCTGGTAGGGGCGCCGGGGGCCGTGCACACCTGATGGAATAATAGGAGAAACCTTATGTTAATGAATAGGTGACATTTATTGAGCTTTTACTATGTACAATGTATAAGGCATTGTTCTGAGCTCTGTGTGGAGGGACTCACTCAATCATCCCGAAGACCTCATTACATCAGGAATATCATGCTGCCTAAACTATAGATAAAGAATAGGCAGAGAGGGTAGGTAATCTGTTTCAAGTCACAGAAATAGTATATCAGAAGGAAGGGAATGTGTACCTGCTGTGTAAAAATGTGTAACAATTACCATTTACTATGAGCCGAGCACAGAACTTAAAAAAAAAACAACTTATCTTTATCACTGAATGTATTACAGATATCCCCCCGTTTTTTCTCCCATTGACCCCCTCAACACTTTATGTGCAGGATTTTATTTAATCCTTATAATGACCCCATGGCGTAGATACTATAATGCTCCTCATTTACAGTTGAAGATAAGGGTTACAATTTAGTACATATTAAGTGCTCAATAAATGCTGGCCACTCATGAAATCTAGAGAGGCCAAGTCACTCATTTAAAACTAGAGTTGGGCCCGGCCGGTGTGGCTCAGTGGTTGAGCGTCAACCCATGCACCAAGAGGTCGCTGATTCGATTCCAGGTCAGGGCACACGCCCAGGTTGTGGGCCTGATCCCCAGTGGGGGGCATGTAGGAGGTGGCCAATTGATGTTCTCTCTCATCCTTGTTTCTCTCTTTCTCCCTCTCCCTTCTCTCTCTAGAAATCAATAAAGAAAAAAAAAATAAAACTAAGGTTGGATTCAAGGCTGGACTATGGATGCCAGGGCTGTACTGTCTATCACCACCACCTCTTCCTTCTCTGCTGGATGACTGCCCCAGACCAGGTTCTTGCAACTTACCTCGTTGAGGCCTTGCTACCATCCTGTGAGGCTAGGGGATTGAATCTTATTCTACAGGGAGGAAACTGAGGCCGGGAGAGGGCAAATAACCCCCCAAGGTCTCACAGCTGGTGGGTGGTGAAGTTGGGAGACCAATTCATGTTGGGGGTGTGAAGGGGGGGTAATGGTCTGGCTCTGGGGGATAGCAGATCCAGAGACCATTTAGATAGACTCCCTGCTCCCTGTGCCAGGCCCCGGTGCACCCCAGCCACCCCAGCCATGCTGGATATCAGGCTTTGTGGTGGGGAAACATGCTTTGTTCAGGCCTTCAGATCACACATCTTCTGCTCAGAGGGTGACTCAGAGGGTGTGGATGGGTGGGTCTGCCTGTGTGTACCTGGTGTGTTGCCATGGGCGTGTCAGCATGCGGCTCTCCAGGTGTGTGTGAGTCTCTGTGCACATGTGAGTGCTCCTGGAGCTGGGTTTGTGACTGAGCATGCATGGTGCCTGTTGGTCCAGCCCCTGCACGGCCACTTCTCACCCCTCCACTGCCACCACCCTGGTCCAAGCCACCATCAACTCTTGCTGGTATTGCCACGCTCCCTCACCGGTCTTTCAATATCTGCTCCTGTACCCCTAGAATCCATTAAATTGGACCATGTCACTCCCTTGTTTAGAACTCTCTACTAGCTTCTCATTACACTTAGAATTGCACCCTCCCCATTCTACATCCTCACCTTTCTCTCTGATACTCTCACCCTGCCTCTCTCTGCTCTGGCCACGCTGGGGACCCAGGGGGCTTTGTAATTTTTCCTGCTGCCTGGAATGCTCTGCCTGCAGAACCTCATGTGGCTGGATCTTTCTCACCACTGAGGCCTCTATTCAAACATCTCTTTAGAGCAGCGATTTTCAACCTTTTCTTTTTTCTTGATATTTATTAAGAGTTTGCTATGTGTCAGACAAAGAGCTAGGAATTGGAGATACGAGAATAAATGAGACAAATGTAGGAAATATCCTCTTGGAGCTTATGATACAGCCGCAGATGGGAGAGTAAGTAGACAGGGGACTGCAGAGGGGCAGCACAGGACGAGCTGCAGGGTGCTATGGGAGCATGCAGGAGGCCTCCCCAGACACCTGTGGCGCTAGGGTTGCCAGAGGAATAAGACGTACACCTGGAGCTGCTGGACGCCATCTCTCTACCAAGGCGAGAACCTTTTCCTGGTTCTTGATCTTTGTGTCTCATTGCGGTTGCTTCAGCACCACCTTTTTCATCTCATGGCACACACAAACTAATTACTAAAATTCTGCAGCACACCAAAAAATATATTTTGCCGATCTGACAAAAAATAGGTACAATTTTGATTCATTCACACTGGACTGCTATTGTTGTATTGGCCATTGTCATTTTTAAAATTTGACAGCCTAAGGGAAAAGAGGTCAGTGTCCCTGACCAAAGAGTCAGGCATCGCGTGTTTTAAAAATTTCTGCAGCACACCGGTGTGCCTGCCTCAACATCGTGGTTGAAAATTGCTGCCTTACAGGCCTCCCCAGATAACCCTGAATCTGGGAGCCCGTTCCCTCCCAGTCACTCTGCTTCTGTCCCCTTTATTTTCTTTCTTTTTAAAAAATCCTCGCCTGAGGGTATTTTCCCATTTATCGTCAGTGGGAGAGAGAGAGAGAGAAACATCGATGTGAGAGAGACACATGGACCCGCTGCCTCCCGCACCACCCCATCAGGGTACATGCTCTTGACTGGAATTGAACCCACAACTCTTCGGTCCACAGGCTGACACTCCAACTGCTGAGCCAAATGGGCCAGGGCTGTCCCCTGTATTTTCTTTATAGCATTTAATTACCACTTGAAATCAAAGTATTTTATTTATTTATTTATTTGTTTATACTTATTGTCTGTCTCCCCCACTAGACTGTCAACTCTGTCTTGCTTAGTGCTTAATTAGTGTCTAGTGCTTGGCAAATAGTAGGTACTCAATACAAGTTGGATGAACAAGCAAAAGAATGCTGAATTCTTACAGAGGCAGCTTGGAGGGAGGGCCGGGAGTTGTCGGCAGGAGCCCCAAGGGACAGTGTGGACAAGGTAGCTTGGGGGAAAGACCTTCCTTCACTAGGTGCAGGTCCTTCTCAGCACCTCAGCCCTCCTGATGCCTCTTCTCTGGGAATCTGGGACAGGATGGGGTGACTTCGGAAGACCCCATCCCTGGACACCCTCCTCTGAGACCTGGCCTTTGGGGAGGGGCAGTGTGTGGAGTGTGGATTCAAGCCTCAGCTCAGCCACTTACTAGCTAGGAGACTTCCAGTATTTCCCTAACCGCCTTCACTGCACGTTGTTATCTCTAAAAGGAAGTAAGTCCTCCTTTCGGGAGCTGTTCTCAGAATTAAGAGGCCAATGCCTCTCCAGCTGCCACTCACCTGGTGGAAGTTCGAGGAAAGTGTTCGCCAGCCCGGGGAGAAGAGGAGTCCTGACATGTGTCTCCAGGTGTAGCCCCTCCAGGTCTCACCTTCCACCCTCTGGTCCTGTCTGCCCAGTCCCGCCTGACACACCCCAGGAACGCGACTCACCGGCAAAGAATTCCCCTCCAAGCCCAGGCTCGGCACTGGTGGAGCCGGTTCTGACTCCCCACCGCCCGCAGTCCCCCAATAACAGCGCCCAGCCACCCGCTTTCCCCCAGCACCTGGACCAAGAAGCACCCAGTTTGGTCCCCACTCTGCAATGCCTCCCACCCCGCCAGGACAGAACTGCATCTGAGTCTAGAACAACGGGGGGGTGGGGGGGACAGGGGCACCCACCCTGCGCGGTCGAAAACCCGCGTGTAACTTGGCTTTCGGGGATTCCCAACAAAATCTGGAACACAACTTGCTCCCTCCTGCGACCCTCCTCCCGGTTCAGGCAGTTTGGGAACTTGCGGGCACAGGAGGGGGTTTCTGGGAACCTTCCGGCGGCTGGAGCCCCCACGCCCGCCCAGAATCCAGGGGAGAGAGGGCAGCGAGTGGATGGGGTGGGGAGGTCCCTCCATCACCACCTGCTTCCACTCGTCCCCGATCCTCAGCCGATCCGCGGAGGCTCAGCGTCCGGGGGGCCCGCCCGCACCCAGCACTTACCCGCAGCGGTGCGGCCAGCGCGGGGCCGGGACCCCGCGAGCTCGAGGTTCGCAGTAGAGGCGGGGGCGCCGGGAGCTGGGGCCCGGCCGTCTCTGCGAGGCTCACGCCGAGGTTGGCACACCCTGGGGGCGGCGGAGAGGAGGGAGGGTCGGGGGAGGAGCCTGGGACCCCGCCCGCCGCGGAGGGTCTGGGTCTAGCCCCCACCTGCCGCGAGTTCGCAGGGCAGTCTTGGCACGAGCGAGGTTTCTCACTCGTCCCAGCCACGGTTTTTCATGTGTGAACAGGGGCATTGGTGGCCATGGGCAGGGCTGTTGCAAAGGCTCCAATGGGATTAGGGGCGGGAAGCACTATAAACTGTCAAGTACTGTGGCCCGGGCACGGACTGCAATCACGGCTCGCCCACACGCATTACCACTGGTGCTGTGCCCGCGTCCCGCGGGTCACGGTCCCCGCCCGGCCTCGGCCCCGCGTGGGAGCACTCCTGGGACCTGCCTTTCCTGCACGATGAATCTTCCCCGGCCGTGCTGCCTCAGCTCCGTATCCTCGAATGAAACACGTGCACTTTGGAGAACCCGAGGGGGAAGGGGCAAAGCGAATCCTGTGCCTGGAAATGAGATGGGGATGGGGGCAGGTCATTGCCTGGAAGTACTACAAGGGCAGAGGAGGGTGGGGTGGGTGAGTGCAGAGATCGTGCTATAGACCGCTGCCTAGGGAGGTGGGCCTGGCGCTGAGCTGGACTCTCGGGACTAGGACACTTTGTCTTATTTACTACTGCGCCCTTGTTAGGAAACTAATGAAAGCCCCTGGCACCCCAGCCTGGTCGAGGGAAACCCAGTGTTTCCTGTCTCCCTGGGGAGTTCGGAGATCTTAGTCAGGTAGGGCTTCAGCCCTGCAGTCTCAACAGCGGTGATGTTGCAGACACAAGGGTGACTCATTTTCCCAGGACTACCCATTTATGCCTGTGGCTCTGGGATAATTAATGGCATTCTCAAAATGCCCCCAAACTTGGGAAGATCAATTACACCTTCATCCTACTCATTGTGACAGAGAACTAACGTGCCATTGTTAGCTCTGAGACATCCTTGTGCAGGTGGTGTCCCACAGGCTTTAGTTCATCTTCACAGTGCCAGGTGATGATGGGATCCTTCCCACTTTTATGAATGAGAAAACTGAGGCAAGAGAGATTAGGTGACTTGCCCAGGGTCACACAGATGATCAGAGCAGAGTCAGTTCTGTAGGCCTCAGCCATGTTTCCACTCACTGGGTCATGGCACTTAAAATCACTGCTGAGCCCAGTTGGTGTGGTTCAGTGGTTGAGCATCGACCTATGTATGCATCAAGAGGTCGCCGGTTCGATTCCTAGTCAGGACACATGCCCAGGTTGTGGGCCCCAGTTGGGGGCATGCAGGAGGTGGCCAATCGATGTTCTTTCTCATCGATGATTCTATCTCTCTCTCCCCCTTCCTTTCTCTCTAAAAAATCAATAAAGAATAATAATAATAAAAAATCACTGCTGAGACTCAGCAGAGCTGGGGTGGTCCGGGAGGTTCTGTGCATGTGTTGGTGTGGGGAGCTGTGTGAGTATGATGGGGTCCATAACTCTGCCACCTGCTACCGACCACTTGTTGCTCTGCTGCATTTCAGAGCAAAACCAGATACCCACTTCCTTACCTTCTACTCAGTCTTCAACCCATTTGAACAATGTTTCTGTCCCCACCATGTCACTAAAAACCACTCCATGAATCGCCATGGATCTCCATGATGCTAAATCTAATAGTCACCTCTCTGTCCCCACCCCTCTGGACTTTCAGAAGCACTCGACACAGCTGACCACCCCTTCCTTCTCAAGACACTGTCTTGTTTTGGCTTCCTATACCACATTTCCCGTTTCCTTGTACCTTAGAGGCCTCCATCCCTGTCGCCAGAGTGAGCATGTCCCAGGGCTCAGCCTCTATCCTGGGTGAGCTCATCCAGTCCTGGGGCTTTCAATACCATCCATTTGCTGAGGAATCTCACATTTCTAGAGCAATTCCTGACTTCTCCCCAAACACCAGACTACGTGGCCAGGGCTGCCCCCAATCACCAGTTTTCCAGCGACTCGTTTTTCCGTTCTGAGATCACCTGTGCATCTTTGGCTACACAGATGCAGTATTCTTTGTACGTTTACCCCACGGAGGTATGCTATGCACATGTGCTGCACTTCACTGTTTCCATGTAACGAAACGTAGGGCATCGTCCTCTCTCAGCAGCTATAGAAGCAGCTCATCCGTTTAGCTTAAATAACTGAATAGCACTCCATGTTCTCCTTTCAGTAGATGTAGAGCTGCCTCTTAAAAAAAAATACCACCTGCTGAATAGTATATGTACCATAATATATTTACTCAGTTCTATATTAAGGAAAACTAAGGCTCTTTCAATCTTACATGTCTTCCTAAGATAAACACCATTGCAATAAATATCCTTAGACAAAGCATCATTAACACATTTTAAAATTATGTCTATAAGATGTATTTCTAGAAGTGGACATTTTGGGTTAACGTTGTAGGCTCATTTAAAGTTTTGATAAATATTGCTAAATCCCCTCCATAGATGTATCATTTTACGCTGCCAGCAGACACGAGAGGGCTTGTTTCTTCATATTCTTGCCAATACAGAGCATTATCAAACTGAATGATCTTTGCCAATGGTATCTCATTATATTTTTAATTTGCACTTCTGTTCTTCTGAGTGACAATGAGCATCTTTACATATACTTAAGAACCACTTGTTTCTTTTTCTGTGACTGTCCTTTACCTTTGCCCATTTTTTCAATTAGATGATTGACTTTTTTACTATTGATTTCTTAGGAGCTCTTTACCGATTAAAGAAAGAAGCCCTCTGTTAATGGCACAAAGAGAAAGGATTCCTCCCTCCCGGTTTGACACTTGTATTTTGACTTTGTATAGAATTAAACTTTTTTCTTTGGTAGTCAAATGCATCAATCTTATCTTTGATGGCCTCTGGGTTTGCTCATAACTAGAAATGCCTTCCTCATTCTGAGAATGGAATCAATTTTTTTCTCCCATAGTTTCGTGTAGCTAAAGTAGTGCTTTAATGCTATATCGGGTTATGTCATTCCCCTATTAAAATCTGTGGTAACTTACCATTACCTTGACACGAACACCCACTCTCCTGACACTGGCCTACAAAGCCCCGAGTGACCTAACCCGCCTCATCTCCCCCGCATGTCTTCTGGATCACTCCTCTCCGGTCACACTGGCCTGTTCGGTCCAGCCTCTGGCCTTCGCATTGGCTATTCCTTCCGCCTGAACTGCTCTTCACCTGGCAGATTCCTCCTCCGTCTCCAGGTCTCGCCTTCTTGTAGAGGTATTTCCTGGTCACCACATCTGAGGTTATCTCAGGACCTCCTGTGAAGTCGCCTGCAGGAGAGCAGGGCCTGAAGTAGCTGTCGCCCAGTCACTGTTTGTCAAGTCAATGTTGGCTGTGCACAGGGTGACGTGTGAGAGGTGTTTGCATTTGAGATTGGGTACCTGTGTGCACAAGGGGCAGCATGGGAGTGAGTGTGTGTGTGTGTTTGGTGTGTGTGCTTATGAATGTGCATGGTTGCGGAGGTGGCTGGAGGGATTTGGGAGATTGTGACTGTATGTGAGATGGTGGTGTCTCTGTGCAGTTGGGTTTTTCTGCTCTGGTGACCAGGTGCTTTTATTGCTTAGGTCCGATCATTCTGACCCTGCCAGATGCTGTCCCCTCACTCCTGACATCAGGCAGTGACCCCAACAATGGGCCTTCGCCTATACTAGGGGGAGCTGGAAGAGTCTCTGTTCCAGAAAGAGGCTCTGAGGCCCTGCTGTCCCACATCGAAGTTCTGCTCCCTGAGCTGGGTAGTATGTGGGAGGCCATCTAGGCCATCCCCTAGCCTCGGGGCAAGGCTGTGTTAGACCTGGGCCTTGGCAGCCGTCCCAGCCGCCCCCACTTCCCTCGGGGCCCACACCTGCTCTCTGAAGGTGTCAGACCCTGAGCCTGTCACTGCACCTCTTCCGGCCCAGGCTGTGGCCCAGGTTGGTCTTGCTCTCAGGCCGCCCCTGTGTCTGCAACTCTGTCCAGGCCTCGGGCAGGAGCTGTCTGGAAAGGGGCAGGGCCCTCTCTCTGGCTGGGATTTCCCTTGTTTGTGAGCATGAGGCAGAGAGGTGGGGCAGAGAGGTGGAAAACAGGTCAGGCGGAGGAATGGGGGCTTCCAGCCCTGCTCCAGCGTGTCTGGGGCTGTGACCAGGGAGGAAGAGATGTTCTAGACCCAGGCTCTAATGTTGCTTTCCTTCCAAGACACCCTGGGTTACTTGAAACATCTGCCTGCGCAACTTT